TCCACTTTTCAATTATCATAATAGGATCTCCCACCCTCTTAACAGTCAAAGTGGGGGCCAGGTTTCTAATACATAAAACTTGGGGGACATAATTCAAGCCTCAGGAAGTTTGGGGGGGGACATAATTCATCCCACTACACATCCTTACCTTGCTCACCTTTTCTCAGTCATGTAAGACAATGGTATTTTTCAGTCTTCCATGTGCCTTCGCACAATTCCAACAGTTTGATCAGTTAGCCAAGGGTACCCCAAACAAAAACTCCTTTGATATTGATTCTAAGCTGGATTAGTGCTCAAAAAGACCCAAAAAAGGAAAATTTGCTCCAGCAAGGGCCCCAATCCTCACTAATCAGAAATGTATTTTCTCAAACATTACTGAACAAAATTGATGTGTAACTATCCACATTTCCACTTCTAGTTAAATATTATATAAAACTGAACCTGAGTTAACACTATTTCAAGGCAGTTAAATATCAATCATCAGCCGGAGAGGGGAGAGGGACATAAGAATAGACCACAGCAATTCTACTGGATCTTTTCTTTACGTCATCAGGTTCAACGTTTGGCTATGTATGGTCGATGCAACAAAGAAGTGCCCCCTCTCTGAAGGATTTATAGAGGGTCTGAACTAGACAACATGTCCTTTGTTCATAAAATAGTCATTCTGATACCTAGAAAATGAGTGACATTTGGATGAAATGAGCAGTTTGGCAATGTTCTATTTAACAACTGTAATCTAAACATTAAACACAAAATGGGGATACAGGGTTGACCATATAAAATAGACTTGTTGTCAAAGAAATTTCCCTTTCTTTGTCAGCACTCATTGCTGTACCTAGTATCTCAAGGGAACAGATGACAGTAATTCTTTCTCAGATTTTTTGTCTCTTAAATGAACTTTTCCACTGAGGCTATGCACACAAGCTGCTTCATTCTTTAATCGGTCTTGGTTCATATGCCAATGCAATTTTGCCAAGGGCTATACTGCCAGGCTTTAGGAAGGAAATCGACTCTAATAAACACCTAGGAACAGAGATCTCCAACCTGTACTGGGGATTTCAGAAGGGGCTGACGGCAGGGTTTCACGGGCATGTGACCTGAGCAGCTACACATGGGAAGCACCTGTATGACTGAGTATTACGGGAGCTGGCTACCCTGAGAGGTCATACTTTCCTTCTGAACCAGACCTGCTTTGAATACAGAAAGAAGCAACAGAGCCCTAAGAAAGATGAACAGCCGAGGAACCCTATCAGATCCTTCTGCGTTGTGCTACTTCCCTGTGTTAGCCAACCACTTCCTCCGAAAACGATGACAGAGAAGGAAAGAGAAAAACAGAGTGACCCATAGTCTCTTCTGTCAATCCTTCCTCACTCATCAGTAAACTGATGGTAGAGAGTGTTGACAGAATATGTGCATATGAACAGTGAAATATAAATACATAGTTTTGTGTGGTGTTTCCATTCTTCTGGTAAAAACAAAATATACGTGCATGTATGAGCTATGAAATATGAACTGCATAATTTCTGTGATCCCATATATGAGTTAGATGCTCCTATATTTGCATATTAAACTGGCATTGCACAATATAAAAAGAAAGATAAAATTAATAACAAAATATTTAATATTTCTTCACTTAGAATGACATTCAATGGCAAATTAAAAAATACCACGACAACTTGAGAGACCACAGAGGAACGGAAAAAGCTTTATATTTCAGTACCTTTAATGACAGATTTTCCTGCTTTTTGAAAAAAGGGGTCCCTCATCTTCATTATGCCCTGGGACCCTCAGGTTATGTAGCTGGCCCTGGTTCCAGGTGTGTCCAAGGTACTGCTGATCTCTTTAGCCCTTATGGGGCTGACACGGGCTCAGGGTGCTGGCCCCTACACTCCCTGCGCACCTGCTGTCCCTGGCATCAGGCAGCCTTGGGTGTTCACTCCAGGATGCTGTGATAAGATGAGAACTGCTGAGGTGGGCATGAGGAGAAAGAGTTAGGGAAGCCCAGCTTCCTTGGGGATCACCCAGACACCATCTCTGCTGGGAGGTGGCTTTTGGGTCCATCACAGGAACCTAATGGACTTGAACATGATATAATCCCTAAAAACACAAGTTTACCACTCACGAGCACGGAGCTTTGTACCCTCTGCCTGGAATGCCACCCCTGCTCTCTCCTCCCTCTAATCTCAGCCCAAAGCCTCTCTCCCCAGAGAGGCCTTTACCTGCCTGACCCTTCATTAGCCCAACTCTGTAATTAGTTTCTTTACAGAACTTCTCCCAATTAGCTTATGTATTTATTGGTTGGTTTGTCTTCTTTATGAAGCACATGGGCAAGAACCCAGTCTGCCTTGCTCCCCACTGTACTCCTCGCTTTTAGCACTGGACTTGGCAGATAGTGAGTCCACAGTAACGGTTTGCTTGGTAAGTGAATAAATGCAATCAGACACCCATAATTAGGATTTGTTAGGTTATTCTGTGTTTTTCAAAATCCAAATCTATGACTTATCTCAATGAAGCAGCAAATTGCAGACATTAGCAATGACTTTTAGACTTTTGCCAAAGCATGTATGGACCTGGATGTTTTAATAAAACATTAAGGGAAAAATGAATTATTAATGACCTAGGCAGGCACATATATATAGCTTTAAGATTAGTAATTACTAATTTTTAAAGAACAAAAAAAACCCTCCTTTTTTTCTTATTCTTTCCATTTTCTTCATTTTCTCTTCTTATGATAGCCCTCATTTCTGGCCTGAATATTAGCCTTTCTTTGGTCAGAAATTATAGAGTAGTTAAATGACTGCAAAGTTTTTTTCCACTATTTCTCTATAAAAAAACAATGTATTACAGTTGATTTCTTGTTTTAAATAATTTATTTGAATAGCATTAATTAAATCTTCTCAAGGTATAAGACAAAAGAAAAGTATTTAAAATTTAGGGCCGGCCTGTGGCTCACTTGGGAGAGTGTGGTGCTGATAACACCAAGGCCACAGGTTCGGATCCCTATACAGAGACAGCCAGTTAGCTCACTTGGGAGAGCGTGGTGCTGACAACACCAAGTCAAGGATTAAGAGCTCCTTACTGGTCATCTTTAAAAAAAAAAAAAAAATATATATATATATATATTTAAAATTTTTATAATAATCAACATAATAGGTTTTATTACTTTCTTTCCTAATTTCTGTACTAAATTATCCTCCAAGATGTCAGATTAGTTATTTTATGAGCTATTTTAGAGTATAATATTTACTAACCCATGTCAAGATCAGTAGCCCTAGATGGAAATCACATTAGTCCTGATGTGACAGCTTGAAAAGTTTTAAAAGTGACGCTGAATACTACCCTTTGAACTTTTTGAAATACTGTTTTCCCTAAACCTGATTACTCCAATGGTGCCATGTTAATTCTTATTTGAGAAAACAGTGTTCAACAAAACAACAAAGCATGTATTTTATAATGAGAAGTTCCATAAGTGGAGAAGATGACGTGAGAAAAATCACAATGGACTTATTTTTCTTATTTGCAAATGATTTTTTGTCGCCTTGGTCCAAAATACTTGATTGATGAGTTTCCAGCTCATTCTAGTTGACATGTAAACTGACAAGCCAATTGCTGAATAGGTCTTTCTCATTTCTGCCAAGAAGTGCTTTTTAATAGCATGTGAAATAAAAACTCCATGCTGAAGGCCGAATTGACACCAGCCATAAGATTAAGTCTAGAGTGCTGTGGAAATTACGGCAAAGAATGCCATCTCCAAAACACTCACCACCAGCCTGGACAAAGCATGAGAGAGTATGATGAGGGGAATAATGCTGCCCTGGCCCCTGGGGGAGGGACCAGATGGGACCTAATAGCTCTTTTCTACTACTAATTTCTATGATAATTCTAAGTTGCCACATGGCATATGTATTTTGTTTTTAATCTAAAGGCAGAATACAAGTCAATAAACTGACCAGGATTTTAATGAAAGGTATTTTTCATGAACTGTATCTATTCACACATGGTATTTCTCACCCCCACCCCACTCATCACTTCCTAGTAGATTGGGAGAAGTATATATAGAGAGGCCAAACATGATATGTTTTCAATCATTATCAATATCTATTATAAACAAAGAGATTCTAAGTTTCATTAGGAGGTCAGATTTTTTTTGCAGAAATTTTATGGAGTCATTCACTTTAATCTCTTTTTCTTATAATTAGAGGTCATATTTGAATTTAAGGCTTACAGCATGCCAATTAATGTTTGAGAAAACAATTACAAAAGTGAAATTTCTTGGGCTTTTAGAGATAAGATCAGGAGTTAGAGAAGGAAATATTCATGATTTGGGAAAATTACAAAAGAATTTCTAGCCATTCTTACTAGTCCAAACACAACCTCATTCAGAATGCCTTTCCCTCTCCTCCCAACCAGATTCTATCTCTCCTTCCTCTGACCTTGCAGAACTCCATTTGCACTTCTCAGGTGGCACCTGCTACCTCCCCTCTGATTTATTAGAGTCATTTCATTTGCTTTTGGTTTCTGGTAGGCAGTTCTGAAGGAAACTGTTACATTTTGCTCAGCATTCCACTTCATAAACGGGCACTACCAAAAGTTCATGGAAAAATGGAATTAAAAGATAATATGAATCCTTCCATGAACATTTTGAAGTATGCTTGTACACAATGAACTGCAACAAATAAGGACAAAGGAAGAGACTGAACTTGTGGAAAATACCTAAAGAGATATGAGCACATCAGGATAGTCATAGCTTCTTAGACACAAACTTATATGTGAGTAAATTATGAAAATAAACTCTTCCCAACTTTGCTGCAGCCCCAAATTATTTTATTTAATATAAATCAACAATGGTATAAAAATCACACTACGTTATTTTCAACATAGATTGAAAAAATTCTCTTTCCTCTTCAACTCAGTTTTTAATACTTACCTCTCATGAAAAACTGCCAGGAATCTCAGTTCTGGGATGGCTTATAAGTTACATACTTCGAGCAAAAAGATACAAGCTCTGGTAGAGTGGGATGAGGCACTTCACGGCCCTACTGGCGTTGATGCACGTGGCACATATAAGGCTTGGCAGCAGCTTCCCATTCACTATGGCTCCATTGAACAGAGGCCCAAAAAACGGAACCTGTTGATTTGAAACAGAAAAACAATTACTTTTCAAAAACCAGTAAAAGTCAAACCAAAGACAAGAGAATAGCTGATTGATGTCTAAGACCTGAAATGAGGACGCAGGCTGTCACCCACAGAGCAGACGCTGACCTTAATAGGACTCAGGACAAGGGCTTTCAAAGCAAGTGAAGCAGGATCACTCCACAATGCTCCTCTTCTAGGAACTTGACAGCAAGACTTTTAATGACAAATTACCACCAGGTTATTTGTTTTTTTCTTATGCTGTCATTTACAGAAATGGCATTACTCTTTGTAAGTGCCTATATCACGTGGATTGTGCACAGTACACAGACATGCTTTACTGCGCACCACTAGCCTAGCAATCTCCTGAAACCAATTTTGGAATTGGTAATGCTCCTGCTATGGATCCCAATGCATATTAACTCTTAAAGAAGGTGATGACTGTCCCTGTCAACAAGTACAAGGTCCTACTCTTCCAGTCCTCATTCTTCTTGAACTTTTTCCCCTCTACTTCCAAAATATGGCATTATCTTCATTTCCTTCTACTTCTTTATGAGAGATTTGGCTTTCCTTCACTGGACCCATTTCTACCATGTGGGCAGCCCACAAAGTTTTCATTCCTGTCCTTTTTGGACTTCCTTCTTCTCTCTTTTTTTCCATTACAATTTCATTAACTTGACTCACTAATCTGGATTATTGTAAACTCCATGAGATCAAGGGCTGGGTCTGCCTTATAACTCTTATATTCATTCACTCTTGCACTTGCTTTCTCATTTATTCAAAACATATTTATTATGTGATAGACACTGCTCTACTCAACGAGGACACAGAAGTGAATACAAAAATCCCTTATTTCGTTGAGCTTAGAGTTTCCTGGAAATTTGAGAGACTAAATAGTATAAACACATAAAATATACAACATGTTAGGTAGCAAAAGTGCTAAGGTAAAAAATAAAGCAGGGAAGAGCAACAGGATTTTTTTGGGAGGTTGGGAAGGGCCTCCAATTAGATCAAATGGCCAGGGAGGGCTTTAAGGAGAAGATGACATCTCAGTAAAGACCTAAAGGAAGTGAGGGAATAAACTATAAGCTGTGAGGACATCTCTTGGAAAAGCATTCCAGGCAGAGAAACAGCAAACACACAGACATTGTGGTGGGAGTGGAATCAGCATGCTTAAGCAAGAGCAAGGAGGTCACAGTGAAAAGAAGAGCAGGAGGAGATAAAGTCAGTCAGGTAACAGGAGAGCCTTGTAAGAAATTTAAAGGTTCTGGATTTCTAGTCTGAGTAAAAGAAGTCTTCTGGAGGATTCAGGGAAATGGGGGATGTGATCTAACCTACATACTAAAGGTACTGTTGTGTCCCCTGTGTTGGAACAATTGCAAAGGGGGAATTATGGAGAGCAGTTGGGGAACTACTGAACAGTCCAGGCGAGATGATGATGGCTTGGATCAGAATGGTAGCAGGGGAAGTGGGGAGCGCGGGTGGGTTTCTGGATACATTTTCAGGGAAGACTTGACAGGATTCATTGAGAATGTTAATGAAGTGGAAGAGAACGAGAGGCATCAAGGATGATTCTGTGGTTTCTGCCCTGGCCATCAGAAGTCTGGAGCTACCTTTTCCTGAAATGGAGAAGAGTGAGAGTGAGGGTCATTAGCTCAATTTTAGACCTTGTAAGTTAGAGATGCTTATTAGGCACCCAGTGGTAATGTATTTAGAAGGCAGTGAATATGCCAGGCTGGAAATCAGGAGAGAGGCCTAGGTTGGAGATATACACACAGGAGTTGTTTATTTACAAATGGTGTTTCTAACCATGAGATCAGACAATATCACCAAAAGAGCAAGAGAAGAGGCCCAACAACTATATCCTGTGGCCCTTCAATGTTTAGAGGCTGCAGACATGAGAAAAAATTAAAAAAGAAGACTGGGAGGGAGTGGCCAGAGAGGAGAAGGAAAACCCCCAATGAAAGGAACTGTATGTACCTGGCACATAGTTGGAATGCAAATACCTGCTGAATAAATGAAGTTAATTAACATTTTATTATTTATTTATTTATTTTGTCTTTTTCGTGACCGGTAAGGGGATCGCAACCCCTTGGCTTGGTGTCGCCCGCACCGCACTCAGCCAGTGAGCGCACCGGCCATCCCCATATAGGATCCGAACCCGCGGTGGGAGCGCCGCTGCGCACCCAAGCGCCGCACTCTCCTGAGTGCGCCACGGGGCCGGCCCTTAATTAACATTTTAAATAATTTAAAAGAATAAATGTAGATCTCCAGCCTAGGTCTGTTGACTTTTCTCAACAACTATTTATTTATAAATAGTTGGCTATTTCTGTGGTTGGCATTGGGGGAGGTGGCTTGGGATACAACAGTGTCTTTGCCCATAAGGAGCTGACATGATAAGAAAACTATGAACTAATATTCTTCAACAAAGATAGAAAAATCCTTTACAAATTTTTAGCAAATTAAATCCAGCAATATAAAAAAAAAGACAAGAGTTTCTATGAGTTCCCATAGAAACTCAAGGTTGCTTTATCATTCACAAATCCATCAGTGCAATTTACCACATTAACAGAATAAAGAAGAAAAGTGACCTTCTTAATAGATACAGAATAAGCATTAGATAAAATTCAACTCTTATTCATGATTAAAAAAACAAAACAGAACAAAACCTCCCAGCAAACTTAGAATGGAAGGGAACTGCCTCAATTTAATGAGATCTTAAAGAAAAAAAAACATGGCATCATATTAACACTGAAATATTAAATGTTTTCTACCAAGGATTTGAAAAGGCAAGGATGTCTACACTCACCCACTGTATTTAACATTTTTGAAGGTCCTAGTCATTACAATAAGGAGAAATAAGAGAAAGAAAGAAAAGAGAAAAGAAAGGAATGTAAAAATTAAAAAGAGGTAAAATTATTTTTATTCACAGATAACATGATCATGTACATGAAAAATCCAGAGAAATTTAACTAGAACTAATAAGTGAATTTTGATGAGTCACAGGATACAATCTACCCCCTAAATCAGTTATATTTCTGAATGTGAGCAACCAACAACTGAAAAATGAAATTTAAAAATACCGTTTGTAGTAGCATCAAAAACTCAGAATAAATTTGAAAAAATACATGCAAGACATCTATAAAGAAAACTACCAAACAGTGCTGAGATAAATTAAAGACAAATTAAATAAATGGAAGGATATACAATGTTCATGGATTGGAAGTTTCAATATTGGAAAGATGTTAATTCTTCTGAAACTGAGCTATAGATTCAACAGAAACTCAATCAAAATTCTGGCAAGCTCTTTTTTATAGATATGAACCAGGTGATTCTAAATTCATATGGAAATGAAAAGACATAAATTAGCCAAAATAATAATAAGACTTATATTATCTGATTTCAAGGCATACTATAAAACTACAATAATTAAGATATCAGAACAGGAGCACTAGGATAGACAAATATATCAATGGAACAGAATACAGAATCCAAGATACAGCCACACATACATGGTAATTGATTTGCAATAAAGGTAGCATTTCAATTTGATGGGGAAAGGAAAGTCTGTTTCAGTAGAGACACTGGAACAACTGATTAGTCACATGGAAAACAGAATCTTGACCTCCATCTCATACCACACATGAAAATTGAGATAGATTATAGATAGAAATATTAAAACTCAAAACATAAAGCTTCTAGAAGAAAACATCTGAGAGAAAATCTTTGCAAACTTAGAATAGGCAAGGATTTCTTAGGGTACAAAAGGCACCAATCAATAAAAAAAAGAAAAAAAAAATTAGACTTCATTGAAATTTTTTAAATTCTGCTCATCATTAAAGTGAAAAGCAAGTTATACATATCCACCAAACACGACATGACCCTAAGGTCCCTCAACAGGAGAATGAATAAAAAAATTTGTGGTATATTCACCCAAAAGAATATTCCACAGTAATGAAAATCATCAAACCACAACTATATATCATAATGAGAATAACCCAAATATAATGCTAAGTGAGAGAAACAGAAACAAAGAAGTTCATACCATACAATTCCATTCACAGAAAGTTCAAAAACAGGTAAAATTAATCAATGGTGACAAAGGTCAAAATAGTGGCCACCTTTTCAAGGGATTAGTGATTGGAAGGGGGCATGAGGGAGACTTCTAGGGACTGGCAATAGCCTATATTTTGATCTGGGTAGTATTATACAAGTGTGTTCACTTTAAAAACATCCATCATGCCATACGCTTAAAATTTGTGCCCTTTACTAACGTTATAATTCAAAGGAATCATTTTCCAGAAAACAGCACAAACACAGAGAATTTAAACACCAAAACTTACAAACTCATTCTAATGGATACATATAAACTACATCACCCAGCAACTACAGAAAACATTCTTTTCAAGCATGCAAAGAATACTTTTAAAAACTGATCATATTCAAGACCAAGGAGCCATAGAGCCTGCAGGGCCTACTGCCTATTTTTGTGTGGCCTGCAAAATAAGAAAGTCCTGTACTTTTTAAATGGTTGTAAAAAAAAAAAAAAAAAAAAAAATATATATATATATAGTGATATGTGAATATTATATGACATTTAAATTTTAGTTCATAAGTATAGTTTTTATTGGAACACAGCCACACTCATTCATTTATGTGTTGTCTATGGCTGCTTTTGCAAAACAATGGCAGAGTTGAGTAGCTGTGATAGACACTGCATGGACCAGAAAGACTAAAATATTTATTATCTGGCACTTTACAGAAAATATTTGCTGACCCTTGTTCTAGGTCATAAGGTGAGGTTCAATAAATTTCAAGGGGTTGAAATCTCGCAATCCAAATTATGTGCCCCAAATGCTATTGAATTAAAAATCAACAACAAAATGATATAATAAAATGATAATTTTTAAACCTCTATGTTTAAAAATAAGAAACTTTGGTTAGAGTGTAGCCTCATAACACACCAAGGTCATGAGTTTGGTTCCCCGTACTTGC